AAAAAAAAAAAAAAAAAAAAAAAAAAAAAAAAAAAAAAAAAATCTCTTCTAGTTGTTCCATAATATTTTCGTCATAGGAAATAACATGTACTATTGTTATAATGCTAAAAATGATTTTTGGTTATATCCTAAAATTCTTAGGACTCGGAACCCCCCACATGTATAAGTACTTCTCTTAAGTTGAGTGACTCGGAGCAGATTTCATCTATGGATAATATCTCCCCACAACTTTGAGATAATCCTGAAATTTTATCTCTTATGTATTTATTATGATTTTCCAACTCTGGAAATACTATATATTAAATACTTCACCTCATCTACCTTTTTAATGTTCCATATTCGCTTCTCAACAAGCATGTATAATAGTCTCTAGTGCATATGTATTCACTTTGTTACTTTATCTCTAACTTATTCTGATAATAATTCACAGACATTATTGTGAATTAATGCTAGAGAAATTAATTAGATTGAGCTCTAATTAATATTTGCTTCTAGATTTCTCATATTTATGACTTGAGTTATTTATGCTTAGGTTCATGTTAAATTAGTCATATTAATTAATATGTCATAACCTTTCATGTGTCACACATCACATAACTCAATCATTCAAGCAAATAACTCGATTATTATTTAAGCTTTGGATACATCACCACATAGTGAGCATTCACTTCTCAACTATCATTATCAGTTAAAAGTGAATTCTTTGATATCATTACTAGCTTAGATTAAGTACAACTCTTCTCATATCTCACTACTAGGTTATGATGAACACCCACTTCTCAGCAATTACTACTAGCTTGAAGTTAAGTTTGCTCAGCTATCAATTCTAGTAGCTCATAGTTTTAGTACACACTTATCTAAGTAGTCTACCTACTTTGGTAGTAGAGAAATTTATTTTGAAGAATATTCTTCAAAAAACTACTACTTTATAAGTAATATTCTTCCTTCCTACAGGAGCAGATATGATGTATAACTTAAATAGCTTATAACTAAAATGGTTACTCATCATCCTTTTATTTTTTTTCTACCAAGTTGACAGCTAGAACCAACTAGCTGGTTTTCATCTTCCTCTTAGATTTTGTGCACCTCATTAATCATTTTAGCTTACAGCTAAGTTAACTAGTTTGCAACTCAGTAACATTTTAGCTTTTAGCTAAATTGTACATTATAGCTAACTAGCTTGATTTAGCTTGTCTCAGTATACTTGTTTACTGTATCCATAACATTTTCTATTAAACTCTTTAGAATTGTCAGAATTTTTTTTCTTATTCAGCCCATTTACAGCTATACGTGTCTTTAAACACTAATATAGATCTTTTCCCTTGACTATCGGGAGAATTGACATAGCTAGACTAGTCAATTTTTGTCTGTTGTATTAAATACATAAACCAGTCATGATCTCATACAAAATTAATAATATCACACATTAAATAAACTATATTGTAAAATTAAATTACTATGCACATTAAGTAATTTAACTGCATAGCTCAATATTATAATCTCAAATAAAAGTAAGCACTTATATAAATAATATTAAATTCACATAAATAATATTATATCACCTGATTAATTATATCACATAATTAATTTAATAAACAATAATATCCAGGAGAAGACTTTGCTTCCACAAAGATTTGTGGCACATTCTCCAATAAACATGCTAGAAAACTAGGACTAAAAGATTTAGATGTTCTAGCCATCTTGCTACGTCTAAGCTCATCCTTATTTTCGATCATTGTATGATTTATGCACAAGAAAATGATATGCACTACTGTTGTGAGCATAACCTATCAAAGGTTTTATGTAACGATCCACTCCACCACATGGTATGATATTGTCCGCTTTGGGTTTGAGCCCGCATGATTTTGTTATTGTGTTTTATCCTAAAAGGTCTCATACCAATTGGAGATAACACTACCACATAAAATCACTTTACCTTTCCCTTACGTAGGTGGTGTGGGACTATGCACCTATAGCTCGCTCAGTGTGGTAGCATGTCAGTGCCTCTTGCACCTGCCCACAACACACCTACCCACCCACCCACCCACAAGGTCGCCATATTATGGGTCCAATTTTAACTTTCTTAGGAGTAGGAACTGCAACCTTAGTTAGACACCCCTACACTTTTAAGAATTTATAGGAAAGTTTTCGACCTTTCTATAATTCATATGGTGTCACATTCGTTTTCTTTTGTAAAGCAAAGCCTCCCCCCACAAATTCTAGGTTAAACCAGAACTTATTAACATAGCATTCATCATTTCTTTTAAAGTACAATTTTTGCATTTAGTAATACCGTTCCATTGAGGTGAATAAGGAACGATAGTTTGGTGAATAATACCATGTTCTGAACAAATGTCAATGAATGGTATTTCGTATTCATTACCTATATCACTTCTTAATACCTTGATCTTTTTACCAAGTTGATTCTCAACCTCATTTTTGTAATGTTTAAACATTTTTAAAATTTCATCTTGCTTCGTAGGAAATATACAAAACAGTTTCTCGTGCAGTCATTGATAAAAGTAACGAAATACCTTTTTTCACTTCTAGTTGGCACAAATTTAAGATAATATAATATACTACATAATATAATATTACAAAATTAAAATAATTCAACCAATATTGAATTATATAAATAATAATTCAATAATCTACTTATATAACATGCTTCAATTTCACATAATATTGAACACATCAATATTTAGCATGTTATCATATAATTATGTATATAACAATATTTTATTATATCTCAATTATTAGTATAATCTCTACTTGTTTATATCTTAAATAGAAACATATAATAAGATCTATACAAGGCCTAAATATGTCTTAAGATTGTTGGTAAAATATATGCTTCATGTGATATTTAAGATATAACAACCCTAATACTAATATGCTATGAGATAATTAACAATATGCTAAGAAATGATTAATTAAATATGCAACTATATATTTAATTAAATATGCAAAATAAAGTAATAAATTAATAAATAATAAATAAAAAACCTGGACCGAGGCTAGTATTGAATACTATGTCCTTAAGACAGATTCGACCCGCTATGGTACTAACAGACTCAGTGGCGTATATCTCTCGCGATACAACGGTCTACATCCACCAGTAGCAGCACTACAAACTCGTGCATACGGCTAACCTCCTCAATGTAATACTCTCTCTGACTCAAAAATGCATCTATACTATATAAATGCTAAATTGGAAGCAATCCGAACCAAATGATTTAGACCAATCTTAATATGGTTCAATGAAATTGGATTAGGGTCTAAGTGGCTCAGGCCACTTAATCCATGATTTGAACCTACTTAGGTTGGGTTCAAGTTTAGAAAGGGAGAGAGAAAAACAAAATTGAATTGAATGAATTGCAAATGGCAGCCCAAGGGGGTATTTATAGAAATAGAAGTGCCCTTTCGAATTAAGTGTGTCTCTTTATCATTGGACACAACCATTTATATGTGTCTTTTCACTGGACACAACCATTTACATGTGTCTCTTCATCACTGCATACAACCATTTATATGTGTCTCTTCATCACCGGACACAACCACTCCAATTGGTTGCAATGGTTCACATGGTGTCTGTTCATCACTGGACACATCCACTCTAATAGTTTGCAATGGTTCACATGGTGTCTGTTCACCATTAGACACATCTATTCCAATAGTTTGCAATGGTTCACATGGTGTCTGTTCATCACTAGACACATCCAATCTAATAGGTTATATCTGTTCATTTTAGGTTGCATTGAATACTGATTAGGGTGACACATTCTTCCTAATTTCAAACATTCTTTCTTGATTTCAAAAGTTAAGTTACTTATGTTACTATTGATCTATAAAATGCAACAAATTATATTTTTTTTAATAATCTTTATTTATGTATTTTTAATACCTTAATCATAAACACATCACACATTCACTTGCCTATAAGGTAATACGGAGTACTTACTTTGTGATCCCAAACATTTGGTAAATTAAATCCTGAAAAAAAATTATTAGCTAGATAATAAATGTTGAACCATTTTAAGCATTGATTTGCAATGTTTGACTTTTAAAGGATAAATTTATTTAGTTCAACAAAAACTCTAAGCAAATATTTAAGTGACAATCAAATGTTAGTCGCAAATTAATTGTTTACTCATATTGAATAAGTTATCCAAACAACGTCTAAACAAAAAAATAGTAATAATAATCAAATAATAGTTTAATAAATATATATGTACAATAGACAACAAAAAATAAATTATTATTTTTACAATTTAAGTTCATAAACCCCAAAGAGTTCTAATCTAAGTAATATTTGTTCTCTTTGAAAATAGAAGGAATTTAATTGATTTTATTTTAAATTTTTTGGTGTTTAATTATCTGAAATTTAAGTAAATATTTATTGAGTAAAATAAACCTAACAAAAATAACTTGTAATTTTGTTCTAATATATATATATATATATATATTTATGATTTTTACCTAATACTGAAAAGTAAAAATAAAAAAATATTTTACTTAGAAAAAAGTTTTTGTAAAAAACAGTTTTCGAGAAATATATCTCGAAACGATTGGATTGAAAATCCTACTTTGGAAAGTGGACCCACCTAACAGAATTTTATATATACACGAGTATATAATTATATATATATACATATATATATCAGCATAATCGCACAGTGATAGAGAGAGACACCAAACTGAAACAATCCCCCAACTCTCAAATGCCAAAACCACAATAGACGCTGCTTTCGTTTCCAAATCAATCCATCCCTGGAAATAGGGCAAACCACAGAAAAGAAAAATAATGGGAATCTTTTCCTTCTTCAACAACTATCATCATCCAATCCCACCAGAGATTCAAATTCCATGGCCAATTCCTCTGTTTGGCTACAATCTCCATTTCCGCACAATGCACCAGTCTTCACCATCTCTCCAAGATTAGGGTTTCCAAAACCTCTCTCTCATCCTTCTATATATCATCTCCTTCATTTTCATCTTCTGCATCATCATCGTCGTCGTATCCAAAGATGGGACTTCTTGTATGGTATTTGGGTAAGCTCGAGTCTCGTCCTCTGCTCACTAAAAGCGTCACTGCCTCATTTATTTTCGCCGCTGCTGACTTGACCTCCCAGGTAAACCCTAGATTAATTTCACCCTTTTCTTTTTCCCTCCCTTTTATATATTTTAAAATGTTATACATATACACACACATTCTGCTTGTCACATTGATAATTTGGTTAACAAGTGACCTATTGTAGAATGGATGTGGAATAGATTTGATCATGATGCTAGTCTGGTCAGTGATATTAATTTTAGCAGAAAAAATGATGTTAATTTTTGTTGGGTATGCAAAATTATTAATGCCATTGACGGTTTTATAAGCATGAGTTGCAAAAGGCTGGACCAGAATTTAATTGAAGGAATGTGCCAAGTGGGAAAAGTACAGATTAGTGATCCATTGATGTTTTGAGTTATTTCTCAACCTGTTGTGTTAGTTTGTATTTTGGGAGTGACTTACTAACCCAATTTATTGGTAAAGACTTCCTAACAGTGGGAAAAAGAAAATGTAACAATTGGAGAAAGAATAACATAATACTGGTGATCACTTACTTAGCTTCTAATGTACCTATGATGCCCATGAGGGGGCTTACTTAGCTTCTAATGTACCTATGATGCCCATGAGGGGGCGAACTATCGTCAAGTTCAACTTCACCCGTTTTCAACAAACTCAAGTTTCAAGAGGGTGGGTAAATCAATGTCCACCCTTTTTATCACTGAAAAAATGAACCAATCTATGATGCACAATAGTTTTGCTCCTGCACCTGGGGGCTGTAAATCAATGTCCTACCCATCATGGCGCATTACCTGCATATGTTTAGACTTGAACTTGTATGTGTCTAATAACACATTTATATACATATCAAGTATCACTTTTGGTTGAGGAGCATATTGGAGGTTCTTGACTCTACAATCTAGGAATTTTGTTTCTACTGTTTTAGCCTGTGCTTTCACTTTAAACTTACGTATCCTGGGTATCTACTATGAATAAGGAATTATGGTTCGAAGGAAGTTATGTACGATATTTATTATTTGTTCTACATGTCATAATGGCGGCACAACCTTAAAGCTGTCACTGTGGTTATTAAATCCGCCTTGAAGCTGCAAAAAATCTGACTTGTTCAGTTTGATCCTTACATCGAATGGAGGAAAATTATGAATAGAAGGATTAGTCAGTCCTTGATACAAATTTGTATTCTTAGAAATATGGCTGTCTAACACACATACACACATGCCGTTCAAAAAAAAAAAAAAAAAACCACACACACACATTCTATTTGGAAAATATATGGACCTAAAATTTGGGATAGGTAAGGGCTACTGCCAGTCGCTGGAGCTGTTTGATTGATTTTTGTATGCCTCATGGCTGATCTAAAAAGATTAATCTCTCAATTCTACTTGAAAGATTTAAGTAACAAATTATTCTTTCTAAAGTGGCTTCCTTTAGAAACTCGGCATATGACTCTCTGAACTTCTTTTTATGCAGTTAATGGGTTTAATGAACAGGTAAATTCTGTTAATTATATATTCTTGTTGACTGATCATAATATAACTCTTTGTCAGACGATTACAATGCCATCTTTTGGTTCCTTTGACTTTCTAAGGACATTGCGTATGGCTGGATACAGGATGCTTATTTTAGGGCCAGCACAGCATGTGGTATAATTTCATGGGAAGAGTCCGACCAAAGCGTGATGTAGTCACTACCTTGAGGACACTTATTGTGGGGCAGCTTACTTATGGACCTACTGTCAATGCTATTTCCTTCTTCAATGCGGCTCTACAAGGTAACCACATTTATTTTTTTTATATACATTTTTGCTGCTACTTAAAAGAGCTGTATTTTTTTTTATTATTTATAAAATACCGTTATAGAATATATTTAACGATATAAGCTCTGTTACATGGACTCTCCTATTTTCTTCTTGTACATTTGTAGACATGACATGGGTATGGGTACAGGATATGTACACACAAATCTAAATTAGACACCCTAATTCTTCACATGGGTGATTGAAAAAGGAAAAGAACAAAAATCAAATTTAATAGCAGAGATAAGTTTTCTATCTATTAGAAAGAGGGGGAGTGGGACCATTTTTCTTTCCCCCATAAGCTAGAGGGGCACCATTTTCTTTCACCATATCTCATTTTATTTGAGTAATAATTGAGTATGTTCTTATAAATCACCAATATTATATATATAAATATTTGATAGGCAAGCTGAGGTTTCATTAGATAAACATATCCAATATAGGATTACAAGGGCGTCCAACTGGATTTATAAAAAAAAAAAAACACCACAACCACCAATCCAAAATGGGAAGATCTAAAGGCCTAAAGTGCAGCAAACTGAACAATAGGTATGTGTAGACCTCTTGATCTTGGGTCACATCTATCGATCACCAGAAACAGATCCATCTGCAACCACCATCAATGGCTAGACACATAGAACCTCTTTTTGAGGTCTAAAAGCAGCAACAGTAAGAAAATTATGCACGTCCCACTCGATCAATGCACATTTTGTGGCTTCTCAAGAACTAAGCTTGAAGTAAGTTGTTGCTTATGAATGTATAAATGAAGCCCTACTGGGGTGTGGGATTGAGATGCTTGTCGACCTACCTGGATCAGGAGCAGTAGATTTGAAGTTACCCAGTGTTGTCCCTGTTAAACTAGGGTGCTGGAAAGGGCATACCACGTAGGGAACTCAACTTTTGACATTTTTTTTGTATAAAGTGACTGTTCTTAGGAATCAGGGGCAGTAGCGTCAAGATGGATAATCTAAGGAGGAGGCCTTAGGGCATAATCTCATTTGGGGACTTGAACTTCAATGGTGCAAATGGGGAGATCTGTTAAAGTTGTCAACATCTCTCCGAACAGTGCCTCCTCAAAAGACTTTGCCTTCAATATACGTATATTGATTAAAAATGACCAAAATGTGAGACAGGAAAGGTACAAAATATCTTTAGTCTTGAACAGGTGGACCTCTAAGAACCTCTTGGTTGTACTGTGATTGTTTGATGATATTTATCATGCTGAATATAAGTACTTATAATATAAGCAATTGTTAATTACTCATTACCCTGAGGTAGGTGGAGCCTGTAGTCATGCACATCACTCCCCACTCGTCTATTAGCCCAACATGAGGATCAATGGAAGTTTTTTGCTTTTCGAAGTGTGGGAATACCTCAGTCCTTTGAAGGTTGATGTAAGGATGGAACAAGAACTCTTAGGTTTTTTGATACTAGAGGAATTTTGTTTGTAGCACCATGAAGCCATTGGGTGACTTTCCTTGACAATCAGAGCTTTTTGTAGAACTTAGCATAATTCAAGAAATGCTTGAAAAGAAAGGTTGCAGAAAATAACAGAGAAGAGCAAGCCCGAGGAGACCAAGCTCCTTAGACAGAAACCCAACAAGCGAGGAAAGTTTTCCAGCTTGAAAGGGAAAATCTTTATCCAAATTGGCAGCCTCCTCAATATGAGTTTGGTTGTTCTCCAAAGTCACTGCTTTATCCAAGGGACTCTGCTTGCATCTTTAAGAAAGTCACGGGCCTAAAATAAACCTCATTTCTTGAATTATGCTAATCCCACCAGTGATAGAGATAGACACCGACACCAACCTGAAACCATCTCCAACTCTCAAATGCCAAAACCACAATAGATGCTGTTTCCGTTTCCAAGTCAATCCATTCCTGGAAATAGGGCAAACCACAGAAAAGAAAAATAATGGGAATCTTTTTTCACATGAGAAACGTAACCAAACGCTCCTTCCTTCTTCAACAACTATCATCATCCAATCCCAGCAGAGATTCAAATCCCATCGCCAATTCCCCTGTTTGGCTACAATCTCCATTTCCTGCACAATGCACCAGCCTTCACCATCTCTCTAAGATTAGGGTTTCCAAAACCTCTCCCTCATTCTATATATCATTATCTCCTTCATATTCATCTTCATCATCATAGTTGTCGTATTCAAAGATGGGACTTCTTGTATGGTATTTGGGCAAGCTCGAGCCTCGTCCTCTTCTCACTAAAAGCAGTACTGCCTCGTTTATTTTTGCTGCTGCTGACTTTACCTCCCAGGTAAACCCTAGATTAATTTCACCCCTTTCTTTTTCCCTCCCTTTTATATATTTTAAAATTTTATACACACACAAACAAAAGTGATATTCTTAAAATTTAACCAGATATGGGAGTGAAATTTTATTTAAGAATATATGCCGCAATATGATCGTTGTGCGACAGAGAGCTGAACCAAATATAGACTTAACATTTAATATTATTATTTAGACAAAAGTGATATTCTGAAAATTTGAACGTGTCTTCTAACATTTGAGAGTCCAAACATTTTCTTAGTACACTAGGCAATGACACATCTTTAAAATAATATATTGCATTTATAATTACTATTATTCATATGTCACATGTAATTAAAACTTTTTTACGTTTTTTTACCGTCCAGACTCCAGAATATACTAAACTTCACATAAAGTGAGTACACTTTAGATGTGCCTATTTTCTTCCTTCTTTTATATTTTAGATTTGTCATGTATTTTCCTTAAATTAACAATCCTCAATTTATCAAGCATATGTTTATAATTTTGGAATCTTTCATTAATAATAATTTAAAAAAAAGCAACTCCCACATAAATATTCTTGGTCAAACTTCCTAATTACTACTTAGATATCTGAAAAATAAAAGGGTATGATAATAAATGATGGCTGGATTTTTTTAGTTTTGATGAATTTTATCCAACAAAACCATCACTTGTGATGGTTGAAGTTGTTCGTATTAGACGGCACACGATGCATGCACTTTCAGGCATGTGTAAACTATGAGCCATCAAACACGTGTGAATTGTGAGCTGTTGAGGTCCTACACCGAAATCCAACACCAATGCTGAAAGTGGTGCATTCAATATGTATCTTTTTCCGCTCTTCGAGACTGTATTTATCTATTTGTTGTTAAAACGCTAGGACAACTAAAAAATACTGCTAGGAATTTAGAATAATTAACAACATTAAATTTTTTTTAGTTGATTCTTTTTTGCACCGGATCCCAACACCAGTGCTGAAAGTAGTGCATTCAGTTGAATATTTTTATTTATTTATTTAGTAATAATTATACTTACCTCTCTTTTAATTTCAAATATACTTACCTCTCATCTGGCTCAAATACGAGTAACACGAGGACCTCTCGTCATAACACATTTGGATCTTGCTCAATATTTATTTAAATACTTAAAAAGCTTGAATTTTTTTTATTTTTTTATTTTATAAAGAAACAAATATTTAATATTAAAAATAAAGTTATAATATATATATATTTTGTCCTGGGCCCTGGTAATGGTTAGAGAATTAGTAATTAGTGGGGGATAGGGGAGGGGATTCAAACCTGGGAATGTAGGGTGGGGGGCACTAAGGCCTGACCCTTTTAGCACTCCAACATCATCACACCCTAAGTTACAATAGATATAATAGTCATTTAATACATTTGGGTCAGTGTATATGTGTGTGTGTGTGTATATATATATGTGTATATTAATCTTTTGTGAATTTAATTTTGTGTACATTGTAGGACTCTGCACGTTTATGCAGTTTTCCCACACATTCGCTCCTTTGTAACTACATATCTCTCTCTTACGCTTTCACTCTCTCTCCCTCTAAAGAGAAGATATCTATAGGGCTTCAAACGTTCCCTGCCATTCACTCTCAAGCCTACCGTCGTCGAATGCTCATTCTGTCCGTATACACACTGACACACGCGCGCTCACATCTATGTGTATGTTTGTATCTGTAAGAGAAGAACTTTACGGTTTTGCTTGGGGTGTGTTCGTTCTTGGTTTGCTTTGTTATGGTTTTAATCTCTCATTGCTCTATCTTTTATGATTTAGCTGTAATTGGGCTTCTCATTAGCTGTTGTGATACTCATTTTGATTAAAATGTACCTAGACGAGTGATTGATTTTGTGTCTGAATGTTAAGTGTTTATTATTTTGCTAATTTCTCAGTGTGCTTTTTGGGGAATTTGTGTTTGTTACTCATGTGTGCTCTATGATTCTTTTAGCATTCTGGGTCTGAACAATGAATTGACTGATGTTTAATGAGGCTACTTGAGGAGGATTTTTTGGGAATTTTTATATTATGCTTGGGTTGTAACCGTTGATGGTCAAATAGTTTTAGGAATTAACATACTAATAAAATATAATAAACCACAATAAATAAGGATTTTTATTAAAATATCCCAACAGGATTAATGTGGCTTAATGGTATGGTCCAATTAAGACATCTGGCTTTTGCCAATTTTTGGGATGCATGGCCTGTTGTGCAACTGCTTGCTGAATGGAGTGAGGGATTTAATTTCCAAATTTTTATAAGTTTGATAATGCTAGACTCGATTAGCGGCTTAGAATAAAATGTGCTAAAAGTTGAGGTTGTTAGCCTTTGGAGATGGAGATATGGAAGCCTGAATTTCAATTGGTGAGCAACTAGAAAGAGTTTTATATAAATAATCCACTCTTTATGTCAGTGTTTACTTCTTGAACATCCGTGGTACCCTTCAACTTAAAGATCTTTCTTTGTGTCATTTATTTCCTCTCACATGTAAGCCATTGCATAGAAGACCTATAGATGCACCAGTAAGAAGAGGAAGACTACATTTTTTCTTTGTGTCATTTTATTCCTCTCATCTGTAAGCCATTGCATAGAGGGTAGGAGGCAGAGCGGGTGCCCAAAATTAACATGGAATGAAATCATTTCAAAAAGTTAAATATTAGAGGAGAGATGGCTTATAATAGAAAAGAATGGAAAAAGAGAATTCATGTCGCTGACCCCATTTATATGGGATTAAGGCAAGGATGATACTACTCTGTAAGCCATTACATCTGCGCACTGCTTGCAGATGTCCTAACATTTAGCATTGCACGCTTGTAATTCTTGAAAAAATGGCTTCATAATGCAGTTAAAAAAAAAAAAAACTCAGCTCTCTTACTAAAACTTGTAGTTGATGTCTCGAAGAACGTGGATCATTTTGCTATGTAGAATGGGAATAGGTCATGACATGCCACATACCCTAGCAGCAAATATGGTATTACAGGGTCACAAGGACAGCCTTGTACAGTGGCATAGAATGTGATGGTATATTTTTATGCTAAGAATGGTTTTCTATTGACTCATAAATAAGAAAAAGTTAATATTATTAAAAAGAATAAGTTGTCCATTTATTTTTGTAAACTCATATTAGAGTTGTCAAGTCAATAGAACTTAGGTTAGCAAATTTCCTTGATCAAATTAGTGTCTGTTCGGTTCTTCCGTTCGGTCAATACAATCTCACCAATCCCCCTACCGGTCACATTGTCTTTAGTAATAGCTACTCTTGCTGAGGCTAAAGTCTTCACCTATGAATGATGTCTATGTTAGCGAGCTTGACTTTTGATTTAATTTCTACTTTAGTTAGAAAATTCACAAGTTAGTGTTACGGTGGTTACCTCTTGCTCATGGTCGAAGATTTAGGGGCAAATGCGTAATCTTGTACACCAAGGGCGTGTTCATGAATATGCTAGGTTCAGAGACAACTTGTTGCAAGGTTTATGTTTTCTTCCAACATTATAATGCAAGGATTTTGTGTTACTTGAAGATACTTTTGGAAGTTTAGAAGTATGAACTGGCAACATTTTCTGTAAAGTATTAGCTACTTTGTAAATTCTTGCACTCTAGCGCAGGCACAGTAACATTTATACTTCTTTATTTTTCTAATTAATAACAATATCTAATAAACATATCAGGATCTCTCTCTCTAGCTGCCTGTGACTTTCACATTTGCTTGAATGTAGTGGCGTTTTGGGAAGCTCTGAGAGCACTTCTCCTAATTTGATGGCTGTCTTTCTCATAATTGATGCCTGATGCTACCATGAGCTGAGGACATGACTGCTAACTGATCTGCATCCTGATTTAGTGGGATAGTTTGCACTATAATTAAAGATATTACAGTATCCATATGCTGGCAAAATAGAGAGAGAATCCTAATAGTAGCGCTGCCTCTTGATGGGTGCAATTAAGATCAAGTCAGCCCGGACCTGCTATGGTTTGTTCATACCCAATAACAATGAATGCTCTAGTAAAGACTATTGTGGTTCAAGTTGAAGGCATCTTGATGATGAGGGAGAAGTGATAAAGGTTTTGGGTAGTAGCAGTGAAAGTGGCATGCCCACAATTTTTATCTGCAGACCTTCCATTTCATTAACTTGAAGGAGGATGGTGAGGCCAACAGAATCAGAGTGGGGTGAGGCCGAGAACCAACTCTGGATGTGGACATGGTGGATAGTAGTTCATCCTCATTGACTGCATTCCTTCTTCAAACAACTCTCTTATATCCCCAGCCTCAATCTTTAGAGCTTTAGGTATGAAATCGAGTATCTTTATAGCATGTTGTTTCAACTCAGACGCATAAACTTCCTGGGTATCTCTGCATGAAAAATTTAGTAGGCGTCAAAACTACTAAATAAATATTAGTTTAGAAGCTTGCGAAAACCAGTGACCCCTAGCCCTAGGAGTTCACCTAGTGTTCAGGAGCTTGCGAAAGAACCCGTGCTTGCCATACCAAACCACTATGTTCAACTGGATCAAGAATCTTCAATTCTCTTGGATGAACTTCCTGGCCCACAATTCCTTTAATCAATATGGAACATTTGGTTATGGAAGAAGCCAAAGATTATCAACTAGAGAAGTTGCACTCAACGTGCAAAGAGTGGAGCATTTTTCAGGTTTAATTTCATCCCCCCTTCACAAAATTTTAGTCGTCATATTCTTTCCAATCCTAGATGTGCTTTGAAAGTTGATCTTGGAAAGCATAGAATTCAGTCCACAGTTCATTGTTTTCTGTAATGTTGCCTTTGGGAGTAATGAATCGACGTTTTAGATTGAGAATTGAAGGAAATTTAATTCAGACTTGTCCTAAATTTCCTCAAATTCCAAATTCAAGGTGTGGATTCGGTCCAAAACATAGCATAACTTTAAATGGCAAATTAGCTAGTTGGATATTTCAAAGACATTGTTGCAGGCAAAAAGATAAGAAAGAAAGAAACTAAAAGAAATACAAGTTATAGATTTGGCCAAATTAAAACCATACAATAATTAAGCTTTGTTTTCCAATTTGTTTGTTTGTATTTATATATATGTAGATATATGTTTACAAATTAAAAAGAAAATAATGCACAAAAACTAACAGTAGTGATTATATATGTTTATAGCTGGTGAACCAGGGAGTGGAATCTTCATTAGTGGAGAAACTGAAATATGAGATTGAAGAACTCTACAAGCTCCCTATGGAAGAGAAAATGAAACATAAGATGAGGCCTGGTGATGTTGAAAGGTATGGACAAACCATTCTCTTCTCCGAAGATCAAAAGGTTGACTGGGCTGATAGATTTTATATGATAACTAACCCCCAACCATAGAAGAAAGCCACCCCTCTTGCCAGAGATCCATTCATCACTTAGGTGCTCTCTCTCTCTCACTCTCTCACACACACATAATATATTTGTATTTATGCATTACTATATGTAAGTATGCATGCATACATATATGTGTATATTTTATGTATTTATGTGTGTAAATACTTACATGTATGTATATTTCATCTATATCACTGCAGGAATACCTTGGAATCATACTTTTCTGAGTTGCAAAAACTTTCCAAAACACTTCTTGGGTTGATGGCAAAGGCTATACAGATTGATGAGGAAGAGGTAGAAGAGATGTTTGAATATGGGATGCAATCAGTGAGGATGACTTACTATCCACCATGTCCAAAACCAGAGCTGGTTGTTGGCTTTACACCGCACTCGGATGCTTCTGGCAACACCATCCTTCTCCAAGTCAATGGAGTGGAAGGCCTCCAAGTTAGAAAAGATGGATTTTGGATCCCTACAAACTTCCTTCCTAGTGCCTTTATGGTGAAGGTAGGAGACTTTCTAGAGGTTTGTATACCTACATGGTTGGATCCTTCCCCATTCTCTTTATCACTAACTAAATCTAATAAATTTTCAATACCTTTTTTCTGGTTTGGATGTCAATTTAAAATATACAGGTACCTTTTATAATGTTGCTCTTTTGTGACCTAGAGGTCACAGATTCAAAACAGAAATGGCCTTCCACAAGTACGTAAGACAACTTACAGCTGACTCTTCCTAAATCTTGCAATGATAGGAGTCTTGTACACTGGACTAGTACTGTATTTTTTACCTAGCTACTACTGCCTGACATAAGTTTTGCAGGATCACAATTTCCTTTTCCTAAAATTAGCTTATGCAGCATCACTCATTTCAACATTCTGGGCTCCTTTACTAATTGCTGGTATATTAAGTACAGATGCTTAATTTGTGAAGTTCTGTAATAAATTTTAAATTTTTTTTACACTCACCTACCTTGGTCTAAATAGCTAAGACTCGTTTAATACTTATAATAATAATAAAAGGTGAATTCTTTAGTTTGATTTGAATTTTCCTTTTCCTTTTCCCACTGTTTGAGTTGTTAAATTCTACTATTCATCGTCCCACAGACACATCATAATATGGCCATGGTGTGAGTTCCATCATTTAACTTGTTAACACCAAACACTTAAATTCCAAATATCTTTAGGAAACAACACTAATGATCTTCATATATGGTCGGCCTGTTTGTTGCTTACCTTCAAAACACACAAGTCTTGCTCTTTTTATATACAGGGACCTACGTTGAATAAGACCATACCACCCTAAGTCTACTTTTCGTAATTTTATCTTGTTTTACCTAACGTTCCCCTCGCATGTTATTTATCTTATCTTTTCTAGTAATTTTTATCATCTCGCAAAGCATCCTTATCTCCACCACATGGATGAAGCTGTATTTGTGTCTTTCTTAACATTGTATTTTGGTCAGCCTCTTTGTTGCTTGCCTTCTCAATTTCTTTCTGTTTATTGTGTTCATGTACAGATCTTTAGCAATGGTGTCTATCGCAACATTGAGCACAGGGTGACAGTAAATCCATTGAAAGGGAGGATCTCTATTGCTATGTTTTTCAATCCCAACTTCCAAGCAAAGGTCGGACCTACAGTTCGTACTATAACCCCAGAAAACCCACCATTGTTCAAAAGGGTGGAGATGGAGAAGTGTGTCAAAGATTTCTACTCCCATAAGCTCAATGGAAAGTCATTCTTAGGGCGAATGCAAATTGAAATTGATGGTGATCATGAACTTGGTCAACAAATAAAATGGTGTAATATATTGAGGTTTGAAGTTAAATTTTATAAAATTGTGTCTTGTTTAATGTTGTTATAAATAAAATGGTGTGATCGATTTATATTATGGTTTGAAGTTAAATCTTGTAAATGGTAGTATGGTACCTCCTGTATGTAATGTTATACTAGTCTCTGTCCTCCTACATTGATGAATTTTATGGTGGGATAATTCAATTCTGTTTTGCCAACCCTTGATACAATCTAAACTTGTTACACTTTAGGGTTGCATAATAATGGAATGATACTGGTTTTTATGTATATATGGTACTGCTAAGACCTTATATATCCGAAGGCTTGAACATTAATTTGGTAATCAGGTGCGAAAGGAACCAGCAAATTGCAGTAGAAACTGAAAGTGTACATGATCCAAAACACAAGAGAGCTTTATGGAGGTACTAATTTGATCCCAACTTCAAAGTGGTTAATACCTCATTTCCTGCAACATCCACGTATCATTGGTTAATACCTCATTCCAGCCACTAATACCTACAAGCTTGAGTTATTATTATCCATGGGCACTAATAAGGGCCTTGAATTGAAGTGTGAGAGATACGAGGCAGCTACCTTCCATGGGATTAATACCTCATTCCTGCAACATCCACGTATCATTGGCAGTAGAATTTTTCATATGTACACATATGAAATCACATGGGCTACAAACTACATGCACACCACAATGAATCAAGAAACTGTGAACGAGTCTTGGTGAGTGGTAAGAGATTATTATTTATACAATAACCCTGTATTACTATTGCTAAAACAAAAGGCCAACACAGAACTTACAAAGGCCAAAAGAAAAGACCAAAAAAAGCAGTTGAGGGACATATCAATAGACATTGCAAAGAATTCAAATTCAAGAAAGTTTTATCCATTTGCAGTGTATCAATGCATCAATTGCAACCTAGCATTTCATCAAGCCTCAAACAAGAAAGTTTCAAACCAGAGGAGAAGAAACAGTGTCATGATTTATTAACTTGAAATAAAACTAGTTACAGGTGAATTTTTATACAATTCACAAACAAGGCACATGGCCACTCAACAACTAGGAACTAAGCAAGAGTCAAAACTCCTAGCAAAAGTCAAAATACACCGTGCCAAAGTAACACCAAAAAACAATTACAGTGGCAATCTCTCTGTACATAAGAGGCAAGCTTTAGCCTTGTGCCATTTCAGGCAAGCTTTAGCCCTGTTTCTCAGAGTTTTCTGCAGCAGTAAACATATACATTTCTATTTGCAAAATTTTCTTTTACAGTTGTAAAGAATGAACTGATTCCAAATTGTTGAAAAAAATGAATGGCGTTGGAAGCTATTCTGGTTTGAAACTTATCCCAAGATCTCTCCCTCTTCTACATCAATCGCCTCCTCGTCCATGTAGAAGTCATCCTCCTTCAGAAACAAACCCAATAACTCCAACGGTTTATTTGATACAAATACTCTAAGGTTCTCAAAGTATTGGACAATTTGCAGATTGTCCTCGAACTCTACAGTCTTCTCCAACTGAAACGAGGAAAGGGGAAGACAAGTTAATTTCTTTTTAAGCAACAGATTCAAAGGTGTACATCAGGAAAGAAAAAAAAAAAATTTTGAACAAAAAATAGACAAACATAAACCTTCTGCAGACGAAGTCGGGCAGCATCTCTTTCTCTCTTCCGCATCATTTGTCGTGCTTCTGCTATCTTTTGTGAAAAAGATTCATCGGCTCTGATTTGGGGTTCAACTCTGCCCTTATCTGTAAACAAGAAATTTAAGAGTTCAAATATGATTTTGAATTGACATTTTGTTTCAATTAGAAGGAAGAGAAAAATGTCTCATTTCCCCTTGTAAAGTCACTTCATGCAATATGGAACCTATGCTCCTGTCAGCATTCCACACCTGAGAAACTTAATGCAAACTAAAAAATGACCATAGGGGAGCCAATATCCTATCCTTTTTTTTCTCAATTTCAGCCAAATACTTATTTATCTAAAACACAAATTAATAAAACTTGAGTTCATTTATGGAATAGTAAAGATTACCTTTATCATGCAGCCTTGCAACTCTTTCCTTTTCCTCCCTTTTAGCCTGGTCAGCTTTACCAGCCTGAAGAAGAATTAGACAACAAGCTTAATGAGCAAAACCACAACAGCAAAACCTCAACCTTGCAGTTGAAAACTAATCAATGAAAAATACTTACTTTGATAGCCCTTGCATCGAGACAACTCCTGATAATTCTTTCCAACTCGCACAATGTGTTATCATCCAATGCTTCAATATTTAATTTGATTTTTTCTGCTTTCAGGTAGGTGAAACCATCATTTTGAAGGAAACCCAGCAATTGGTGCGCCTTCTTTCCAGTTGATACTTCCACAAATGAATTTTTCCTAACATTTTTCTTTTTTGTCTTGTCACAGTTCAGATTTCCAGAACGAATCCCAGACACCATTTTGTCACCAATAATGCATGAATCACCTACTGCACAATTAGCACCCCAAACAAGACTAATTACATTAAAAAGATCACTTTTTCTTTTTTAATTCAATGACAAGAATGAAACTTAATACACATCAATTGAACCAAGATAATCAAGATAAAACTCATGTACTCCTCAAATTTCAGAATAGGAACCATATATACAGAGGCTTCCACAGAATTTGAACTCAGAATTTGAACATCAGTTGAACAACATCATCATCACAGCTTATTAAAATTTCGAAGTGCAAGGCATAAATGAATCAAAACACAGCCCCTTCAAATTTTAGAACACATAATATATCTTATGCAAGCAGTCACAATTGTTTCAAAAATTTTCCAAACATATCAAGCCATACATGTAAATATATATCGTGCCACAGTCCATCACAATTGTTTCAAAAATTCCGAACTCAATATTTCATCATCACAGCTTCATCAACACATACAGCAACATATATATATATATATCAAAACAGTCTCATCAAGATTTGAAATTAACACAATATATATATACCATCACAGATTCACAGCCCCAATGAAAATTCGAAATACATGCAAGCATAGTCACAATTTTTCCAAAAGAACTGAACACAAAGCAACATATAAAGACCTACATCACAATGAAATCCCAAATTTCCTCATGAAAATCCAAAATCCCCAAATCAACATGTATCAAAACCTCCTTCAATTTTTGATTTTCAAACATGAACTCATATATTTATATATATAGATATATAGGATGAGAAGAGGGAGAAGACTTACCCGAGGGAGAAGAGAGGAAAAAGAGGAGAATCCGAGAGAGAGACCGAGCTTCGGCCAGAGAATCTGCCGGAGAAGAAGACCGGAAGAGGAGAATCGGCGGCGAGACACGGTCTTTCTCCTTGGTCGAGAATCGTCTGATTGTGTGTGCGAGGGTTTATGTCTGATCGTCTGATTGTGTGTGCGAGGGTTTATGTCTGATCGTCTGATTGTGTGTGAGGGTTTATGCTGATCGTCAGATTGTGTGTGTGTCAAGAGGGCTTTATCAGATGATGATGGGGGCGCTATACGTATTGCTTAATTGATGAAGACTAGCAACCCTAGAATAACAACAACTTACATCCGGTGAGCTCAGTGCAAATGGGCCTCGGTCGTGGGATTTGTGTTTTGTTATTTGGGCTTAGGCCCGTGTACATTTGTCTATGTCAATAGAATCCTTAACTTTCAAAATAAAAAATACTAAATAAATAAATAAAGGGGATAATGCAGAAATGACCGCGTTACCCTCACTACAATAATGTTTTTTTTTTCTTATTGCATTTCAATTTTTAATGAGAGAGAGTTTGTCGATAAATCAAAATGTAGGTTTTTTTTTTCTTTCTAAAAGAAATACATAAAAAATATTTTTATTACTTTTGTTTTCTTTCTTTTCATTATCTTTTGGATTCGTATAGGTTAACAAAATTTATGACCCTAATTGTCATTTTGGATATATTAAAAATTGTATTTAGTTGCTTAAATTATGTATATATGCATCTATCCTAAATTTCCTAATAAACCTATGTCCTTTTAACATCCGTATATGTATTTCATTTATCTAAGAAAAATTTATGAGGTCATTTTTGTAGTCACTACTATTAGGCACAAATCGGTACTTCTTTTAATGGGCTTGGATAATTATGATTTACCAGAAGATGATGGCAAGTACTATACCTTAGTTATTTTGTTTGGATTCATCTGTCTTTTTTAAAATTATCCGTTAAATTTTGTATTTCTTCTCTTTGTTACTTAATTTCTTTTTTAAAAAAGTCAAAATTTCCTTTTTGAATCAAAGCCTAATTTTTTTCCATTCAAAGTTGTCTCATTTTTCTTTCATTTTTAATTTTTTTTAAACTATTTATCTTTCTTAAATTACACATTGGTTGATATATTATTTTGATATTTTGACTAATTTTTCTTCTTTGCCTCTTGATATGAAGAATCTATATTTATTGTCATGTTTATTGAATTTTTTTTACATTGTACCACCGGATTTTATTTTTGGCTCCTCCCCTATATATATACACACACACACACACATACATGTAAAAAGCACATGCGGTGCACGCGATCCAAAAGGAAGAACATGGTGACCAATTTGAGAGGAAAACCGATCCATAACACTTGGGTTACAAGCACCATAACGAGAAGTTGTTACAAATGTTATAAGGATGTGACAGACGAAGCTTGCATTCCTATGCCACTGTGCGGTGATTTTTTTTTTTTACTTCAACAATACCTTGGTGACGCCATGAATTTTACTTGACGCAATACCTCAATGGAAAGCCAAATTTCTCTTTCAGCAACACCTCAGCGGTAAGCAGAAATTCTTTCGGTGACACCTTGGAGGTGAGCATAATTTTTTCCTTTCAACAATACCTCGATGGAAAGCCAAATTTCTCTTTCAGCTACACCTCGGTGGCTAGCATAATTTTTTTCTTTCAATGGCACTTTGGTGATGAGTCAAAATTTTGTTACAACAACACCTTGGCGATGCACCAAAAATCTTTTTCTTTGCAACGACACTCTGGTGACGAAGTAAAATTGTTCTTTGAAGCTATAACTCTGGCGACAAACCAAAATTATTGTTTACAGCTACAATTTGGTGGCGGGACTAATTTCTTTCTTGCAGTTACACTTAGGCGACATGCCTAATTTATTTTACAGTTACACT